TTTAAATATAATTTTATTCGTTTTTCATAATTTTATTTTTAACAATTTAATTGTTTATTTCTATAATTTAAAGAAATTGCTAACGTGATTATGTCACTTAACAGCATAAGTTTTTCGCATCACTGTATACTATTTATGAACTAGCAGTATAAAAATGCAAAACTAATATTGATAATAAACAGTTATTTATTACAGAAACTGTGTTATCATTTCCGAAAAGTTGGAAAAATTTTGATCTGTTTCCTATTTATGACAAAGTTGATGACGTGTAAGTATATACCTTATAATGATCTATTTTTTCTCTTAATTTAGTAGGTTTATAATGCCGTTGTTGTAAAGATCTCCAAAGAATGGTTTGTTCAACAGAATAATAAATTACACACCTCTAATAACTCTTTGCTTATTTGAGGATTACGGATCTGAATCTGATCTCTGCTAAAATCTTCACTGATTGTTTGTTTCCTATTTTTCATTACATAACTCAGTCTCGTATTACGAAGTTCGAGTCGATATATCATAATTATTAATTAGTAAAACGTATATTTATATGCAAAAGGGAGGGTAGAGGTTCTGCGTGTGCAGGTAACGATACACGTTGACTGGAAAGTTCTTAATTAAAGTGACAACAGAAAGCCACAAGTAGCACGTTGCCATTTCATGCTCGTACTTTGAGCTTTCGGCAACGTTTCTACTCCGGTTTTTTCCACTTCATGCTCTGAAATTCTCTTCATAGTTTATAGTGGTGGCATTACGTTTCTTGCTTGCCATAATGTTCTGGAGAAACATATCAACATCATTTCGGTAACCAAAAGATTCTGCTGGAAAAGCTCCATTCTTTGGTCTTAAGGATATTTTCGAAAAATTCTATAAACTTATAGGGTATACACTTTGCGGTGTTCCAGCTATGTCCTCACGAAAAACTTTATGGTTCTGTTTGAAATGTTGTAGTGAGAAGCGATTGCACGTAGGCTTTTCCTACACTCTGACTATATGGCACGTAGGCTTTTCCTACACTCTGACATATCTCTTTTCATAATAAAGAGTATCGGCCTGTCTACTTTCTTTATGTTCTAGAACAAATTTATAATGATTCCATTTATAAAATTATAATATTAATACAGTATAGTCGCAGGTTCAAATTCAAAGCATAGAGTATCGCACTTTACAGATTTATTATATAGAAAACTTTGTAGACAACAGTCATGAATATATACTTTATTGATATTAGTTACTATAAAACGCAATTGAGATGACATACTCCTTATCAGTTCTTATCTCGTTAGTACCTGTATTTTTTCAAAAAATGTTTTTTAGTTATAATGAGTCATGAACTAAATTATGTGTATTATATATAATTGATTAAATATTACAATCCTAAACCAGCCAACCTGATTCACGTACAGCACTTTTGAAAAAAACTTGTAATATTAATAAACAATAGATTTCTGCTACAACTACCCGACGAACTTTTAAAAGAAAGAGTACGTTATAAATCGAAAGAAAATGTTTAATAGAACTACATGCGAACACCATATAATAGAAGGAGTGACGAATATTAATAAAAAATATTTATTAAATGATTACCCAAGATCAATATAGAAGAAGTAGTAAATTCACTGTTTTTTTATAGGAACGATGAAAAATGTTAAACAAAAAGCAGCCTACAAATAGTTGTTATATAAAAAATATTTTCGAATAACTTTTCAATATAATGCTGAAATTCAATATATGTATTGCCCATACATTATGCAATAAAGTAAGAAATATATTCCACAATAAGATTGGTACAAAAACTAAAAAAAAAAAAAAAAGATAATGCAGGTATCGTGTATAGTTTACAATGTGTACGGCAACATCTATATCTTACATAGAAGAGACAGGCATGATTAAGTAAAAGAAAATGCGCCTCTATATATTTTAAAGTAAAATAATCCCCATGGTATTATCACAGAAGTGACAGGTTCACAAAACCAAATTAAAATGTTAAATTATGAAAAAACATACAAAGGTAAATTTAAAGAACACAGAATAATCAAAAAAAGTTTACATAAAGAAAATCTGTTAAATACATGTGAAAAAATACAAGCCACCCAGACGTGGTATGACATCACCGAAGATTACACATTAACATTTGAAAGAAAAAAGTGCTTATTTTCAGTTTATAATATTATATATTACTACAGTGTATTAGATAATAGAAAAAGATAATTGAATTATTTCAAGTATTTGACTAAAAACATCCATTTGAAGGTAAAACACAAAAACATGAAAATATATTAACTTATCTCTGCCAAACATGCAATTAACACGCGTTATTAACAACATTAGAATGCTGGTAACTTTAAAAATCATTTTTCTCCAAACTCTGGAAAATAAACAACAATAATTTTTTTATCTCTATTTTATTTAATTTTACTAAAATTTATATATTCAACTGCCTGACAAAGTAACTGATATTAATGTAACTGTAACAAAGTAACTGATAATTAATGTAATGACAAAGTAACTGATAATTAATTAGTTTACAACAGAAAATAATCATAAAAAGAAATCAGCAGACAGTAAATATTTTTCCTAATCAAATTATAATGAATCGAAACCCAACATTCAATTCCATTTGCTTCATGCAATGAATAAGAGAATACATCTATTAAAAAAGTTGAAAATAACTTATTTTTTAAAACTTTTTTAATTGTGATGATTAAAGATCAAAAGTTGGTTCTTTTTTTTTTAATTCTTTCCGTCCTGTGGGCACTAAGAGTGCCTTATTTTGCAAACCCATTATGGGTTCGACCAGGCCCACAATGGGGCTGCTGGGTGGTGAATGACGGGGCCCAACATATCCGAACGGACAACCCCCCGAAAAATTCCTGGGGATTTTTCGACCCGTTCGGATTCGAACCCGGGTCCCCCAGAGCGGTAGGCTGCCACCTTGACCGCTCGGCCATCCGGCCGCTAAAAGTTGGTTCAATTAACAACTGTCAGCCATCTTTTGTTTATTGTCACTCAGTAGTCCTTTATGTACATATTTTTTAATTTATACGTTGTTATTATCACATTATAACATTTATATCAAGTTTATTTACGAACAGATTTCGAAGAAGAAAAAACACTCAAAAGCAGACAAGAAGATTAAACTTTTGAATGGTGCGAATTTTGGTTTTCAAACAAATCTACAATTATTTCAAGCAGGAATCGAATAATTATAGAAACTGTCTATAGAGAAAATAGAAATCATTTAATGAATGGATTATACGTATAGGAAAAAACTCATAAAAAAGGCGACTCCGTAATAGAATAAAATGTGTTTATTATGGCACATTAAAAAATTACGTAATTTAATTATCCATCCTGCTGTTTGTAAAGTATACCTAAAATAACTTAGATACTTTGTACTACAACGTGTACAAAATATTTCTGAAGAAGGACAGTTAGATTGTCTAAAACACTTACAATTGTTAAATAAATAATCAGTGTAAGTCGCCTCTTTTGATTTTTATTACTGTGTGTACAGTGCATAGTGAATAGTGAGAAACAATTTAATATAGCTACAAAGAAAGTCCCACAATTGCCTTCAAAAATTTCCTAGAAATTGACATTACGCCGTTAGTTGTGTTGAGTTTCGCAGACATAGATGCACTTTGTTTATAATTTTTTAATATTTAGGTTTTCGTAAAATAACCGAAAAAAGAAATTACACCTTAACTCCTCTCTAAGATACGGTGTTATAATTTTTTGCGGTAGGCAAATATTTTTATGTGTATAGAATATTCTTGCATTCATCAGAACACGTGACCAACGGCATTGTGTAAATTTTCTAGTAATGCATAGGAGTGGCTGATTGTGTTTGTGACACAGTGTTTCTACCTGTGCCACATTGGTGTATTATACATTTTGGAGATGCCAAACTAACGCGTTTATACTGCAACTCTTTGCTTCAAAATAAAATAAAATAGTAAAATATTTTCTTAAATAGATAACGATTTACAAAATTTTACGGTCTGTAAAACTGTAAATCAGTGTGAACAATCTACACTCTTCTGCATTTAGTAAATGAAAAGAACAATTTATAAAGTAGCATATTACAAACATTGTTGTTATTGACTAGCATAGAATATTATGTAATATACAATTATTAATTATCAATAAGTATAAAGTTTGATTACATTTAAGAATTACAGTAGAACCTCGAAATCTCGGCTCTCGATAACCCGGCACTCCGGATAACTCGGCCACACCCTGGCAGGGCAAAAAAATCCTTAGTTAATTAATTTTCATTATAGACAGTTTTATAAAAGTATAAAAGCTCTCGTAAAGTATTTCTCTGAGGTCTGTCTTATCAGGTAAATTAGTGTACACAGTGTATACATTAATTTTCATTTTCATGTAGTAAAGGCTCTATGCCTTCATAAAGGACGTACTTTTCCTTTGTTTAAGGGTATTTGGGCAGTTTATTCTCTGTTATATTCTCAAGTAAACAATACATACAAGTACAGTACAGTATTTTCTGAGGAAACACTCGTACTTATTTTTTTTAACCCCATTCCCGATAACCCGGCATTTTCACAAACTCGGCCACCCTTCGGTCCACATTAGGCCGAGTTTTCGAGGTTCTACTGTAGTAGTGTTTCTTAAACCTAAGTTTTAAAAAATAATTAATGCAGTGTCTTTGTTACAGCGATCGTAAAATGTTTAATTTATTTTCCTCATAATAAATATTTCTACTTTATTGACTTCTCACTCAATCAATTTTATACTGCTATAAGCTTACTTTATGTGGTTATTGTATAATACTATTTTTAATTAGATAATTTATTTAAGTACAGTATATAAACTATGCTAAATTGTTTGCATATAAATTAATTTAATTAGGTAGGTATTTAATTATTAACGAAGTCTCTTAGAGTAAACATGTTTTTATTTTGAACTAGCTGTTACCCGCAACTTCGTCCGCGGAGGTTTCGCAAGCAAACCCCATTTACATTCAATATTTCAATAACCATAGTAATTGTCATATAACAACTACCGCTGAAGAGAATTGCCAAGAATCAAACGAACTATCTTCAATTTGATTAATTTTCTGTAACGTTTACAATCGTTCTATAATCGAACCAATATGCAATAACTAATTCGAATTTAAAACGGTTCGAACATTTTTAATTAAAATCGAAATAGATAAAAATATTTATAACAACGTCTGAAATGTTATCAATTTAATACTCCTAAGTACTGAATGAAGACTAAACGTAGTTGAAGACAAAAAATCGTATCTAAAATAGTACAGTAGAAGCCGTTTCCGGTTAAGACTTAATGCTCTACCTCTCCCCCCGCGGAGAAATTTTGAAAAATCCTTTCTTAATATGAATTCCCATGACATTCCCTACTAAAATGCATATAAAAAGAAAAAATCGCATCTAAAATAGTACAGTAAAAGCCGTTTTTCCAGTTAACCCTTAATGCTCTCCCTCTCCCCCCACTTGGGAATTTCGAAAAATTCCTTCTTAGTGTGCGTTTTCATGACATACCTTAACTGTGTACCAAATTTCATCATTCTAGGTCCAGCGGTTTGCTCTGGGCGATGATGAATCAGCCAGTGAATGAGTCAGTCAGGACAAGCAATTTTATATATATAGATTATTTAATCTCGTCGAATTTGCTGTAAACAATTTTTTATACATTTACTTCATTTCATTTACTCAGTGAGTTTTTCGAAAATTTAAAATCTATGTTAACGTTTAATGTAAGAATAAATGCTTTTAATTTTTAAAATATCAAAATGTAAATTACGTGAAATTTTTATAATTGAACATTTACAAATTTTGTTTCGTTCAATTACTCGATCTAATTAATATTTTCTTTCTAATCACACGAGGAAGTCCTTTACATTGAGTTTTCTAAATAGTTTCTTTCTTCTACAAATATAGATTTTCTGCATAGATTCATTTATCTAATTCTGCAATAAAGCCAAGGAAAGTATCATGACACTTGCGACAAGTTCTTTACAAAGCCTACACAACGTTTTTGAAATACTTATTTCTAATATTCTAACTTTTAAAATCACATTTATAAAAGGTAAAAGAATTCANTCCCTGAAAATAAGACCTAGCGCATTTTTCAGAGCAAAAATTAATATAAGACACTGTCTTATTTTCGGGGAAACGCGGTATATATTTACTTCAATATATTATTGGATTTAAACATGCAATTAAAATATTTCTGATTTTAAGAATTTTTATAAATGTAAAATACGAAATGTCAACATATAAATTATCTTCCCAGTACCAAGGATGCAATTGGCATGCACTGTTAATAGCATTAATATGCAGATGTATCTGAAAATTATTTATGCAATATCTCAAAAACAAAGTATGATAATTTTTAATTTTTCAGTTAGTCGAATTTGTTAAAGTTTATAACTTCCAACTGCATTATAAACTTGCAAATATAGACACTAGGGTATAAAACGTCAAATACTCATAAACATTAAATCAATATACAAAATTTCAAAAGCAAAACATGCTCAGCATATAATTAGCTTGCCACAACACATCTTTCTTGTTGCCAAGATACAGAATTTCTGTTCTGTAAAAAACTTCATAAAAAATTCAAACACAACATGTAAGTATACAAAGTAAGTTTTTTATCTTGAGACAATGAAATGCCTTAATTGGATTTCATTATATCAGAAAAAGTTTAGAAAAAAGTTGTAAGAATTTTGAAATGGCAATCAATTGGTGACATTAAATGCAATCTTGACCATGACCTTCAAATGACTTCGAAAGTCAAGTCTTTTTTAAATGGGAATACATAAGTTTGCCCTTGGCAATGAAAAAAGCCAGAAATTTAAAAATCGAATATACTCTTGATTTCAGGATTTAGAACTTAGGTAAAGGTTAATTTAAGGTTAAAAGATTTTTCTAACAAAAAACAATACTTTTTATTACTGAAGTAGACAGAAGGCAACATTTACATTTGTTAACATCTTTATTACTTTGATTTTTAGAAGCATTTACTACTTTCATGTAATACAAATATGGTTTAGGACTGGCTCTCGACAGTTACTGAACATCAGTGATGCTTTAATCACTTAGCAGTGATCGACTGATATATCTGTCAAGGGCAATTGTGTGGCACTAGTGAATGACGGATATATCCACGAAATTCTTTTGTGGATATATCTGTCGTTCACTAGTTATCTAACTTTTATTTATAACTAATAACTAATTCTGTTACCTAACTTCGTTCACATGAATTTTTGAATAAACACAACGTGACATCCATTTTAAACCTGATCGTACTATGTACTTTTGTCTCGAAATTAATCTCTCTTACTCTTTACTCGAAATTAAAAAAATCAGATATGAAGCAAAATTAATAGGTCTACAATTTTTTTCCAAACAGAAGTCCAATAATTTTTCTATAAACGGGATATTTACGAGAACACACTCCCACATACATTATACAATCTTTCCCGAAAATATAAGGATTCAAGAATTATATATTACTTGTAACAAACATTTTCAACCTGTTCTACAGAAGTTCCGTAGCACTTGATGGTTGCTTTTCTGCTCTTTATTTTTTAAAATACACCACAGATTCTCAATTGGGTTCAAATCTGGGCTGTTACCTGGCCAGTCAAGCACCTGAATTTGCTCTGCGGTCAGATAGTCCCTTACAGTTTATGACTTGGGACACGGAGCACCATCAATTATAAAAATTGAACATTGATGAACATGCATGTGAAGGTTCAACTTATCACGTAACAAATTAAGGTACTGACTTCCATTCATAGTGGTTTTAGGTGACAAGAAATACAGAATAAGAGAGCCAGACATTTCACCCCATATCATCTGGCTTGGAGGATGTTTCACGGTTGGACTCATATCTTTTCTGATATCTCCTTCCCATTGTGCGGCGAACACTTCTAGCACGAGCAGAAAATTGCTGGATACTTGACTTATCAGAAAATAACACTGCACTTCATTGTTGTACTGTCTAGTTCTTGTTTCTGGGCGAAAGTCAGTCGTTTTTTTTTCATGTTTGGGGTAAGCCGAAGTTTCCTAGCTGGTTTGTAGGATAATAAAGCAAAATATTTTGTCATACGTCTTGAAATAATAATCAAACTGATTTTGGTGCCTTTGCAGCCAGGGTATGTGTAATCTTCTTGCTGGAAATTGTTGGAGATATCACTACAATCCTTAGGATCACATGATCATCAGATCACTCGTTTTTTCTGAACGACCGCTTTTCTTCAGGTCTGTGTATTTTCCTGAAATGTTACATTTACTCACAGCTTGATGAACAGCAGTCTATGCACAGCTTGATGAACACCTCTATAATTAAATCCAGAAAACAACTGGCAATGAGTGAGATGGGGTGGTTATTTATAGCAGTCAGAAGTGTCTGATGCATTCAACACACAAAATGATGCAATATCCTGTGCTTAAACTTATGCACTGTATATATATATACACATTATTATTATTATTTTAATTTTTAATCAACTTTTTTATATATATTTTATTATATTATTTTATTTTAAATTGTATATATCTATACTTATATCTATATCTATATCTATCTATATATATATATATATATAAATGGACATGTATGTCCCTATATTTCACTTTTCCGCCAAAACTACACATCGCACGTGAATGGTGTTTGTATGTGGTGGTAGCCCCAAGTTTCCATTCGTACATAGGGGTGGTTGCGTCTCGATAGCTATAAGGGTGCGGG